TTTCAGTATCAAAGACATAATATTTAATTAAAAATGCTAACGCCCTGTGGTATTTATTAATCAAGATAGAAAGAAAGCTGATTTATTTTATGAAATAGTTCTACTAAATAAATAAGATACATAATGAAAATTTTGTCATTCTGTTTGAAAAGCCTTTTAGAGTTTCAAACAGAAAAAGGTAATTACAGTTTGCTAAACATAACTCATAACTGGATAAAAAATATTAGTTTTTATGTGTAAAATATCTAGATATATAAAGTACTGTTTCATGAAGTATTATCCTTACATCTTCCGCACACCTGGAAAGTGATATTGTTCGTGAAACAAAGTAGTAACATCTGTAGTGATGTCTTACCAAAACACTTTACGTGTACAGAAACAGCAAAGTTGGAAGGAAGGGGTCAGCCATACAAAGACGTGATATAACGAAGAGCCATGCTAAATAAAAGGACAAAACCTGTAAAAATGCTATGTAAAAGTGGTAACTTAAACAAGAAACATTTAGGGAAACTTGGCGCCCTATTGCTGTTTGTTCTACACACATTAACCACTAGGCAGATACTATTAATTAATTCGCTATTAGAAAGTTGAGACAATTCATAATTATTGTTTGTTTATTTGTTTTTGGAGTTCGCGCAAAGCTACACGAGGGCTATCTGCTCTAGCCGTCCCTAATTTAGCAGTGTAAGGCTAGAGGGAAGGCAGCTACTCATCACCACCCACCGCCACCTCTTGGTTTACTGTTTTACCAACGAATAGTGGGATTAACCGTAATATTATAACGCCCCCACAGCTGAAAGGGCGAGCATGTTTGGTGGGGCGGGGATTCGAACCCGCGACCCGCAGATTGCGAGTCGAGCGTCCTAACCACCTGGCCATACCGGGCCTTCATAATTATGCTTATTAAACGTTACAGTTAAAAATGACCTTATTTCTATAGCTTCTTAATTTTTAAGAACACCAGATCTGGCGCAGAATGAGCACATGTTAATATATAAGATTACTGTAACAGATTCGAAACGCATTTCTAACTCAAAACTTACAAAAAAGGTGCGCCTCAAGTATTACTGGGCCAATCGAAAATTGAGGGCTCGAAATGTGCTGCCGCGGAACACGATCCACACTGTCAGCTGTGGCTCCATTTAAACCCCTGCCACACGAGTCAGCCCAGCATCTTGATGTGGTTGTTTTGATTAGATAAAAATAAGACGTTCGATACTATTTCCCAGGTTTAGGTCGCTGGACCTGACCCGAGACCATGAAAGCCAACACAGAGAAGTTAACTTGTAAATGTAAATTAGAAACATTTAGCAATGAAACATACTTGAAATGTTCAAGATGTGGTTGTAAATGAGATGGTTTAAACATAGCGGTAAATTTAAACCGCGGGCTCATGTCGGATGAGGGAAGCACTTATTCGAAGATCTCCCAATCTCGATTGACACACCAACTGAATCTGAGATTCGTTAGTTAGTTACTGCATTGATAATAAAACATAAAAACATGAGCACAATAGTATCGTTGTTTTCAAAATGTGGATTGGAATCATTCGTAAGAAATCATCAGTTTCAATATTGTGTGAAACTAACGACACGGTAATGTCCAAAGATGCAGAGTGTTGAAGTTGAAGCAGATGCACGATGCTTTACAAGATTATTTCCCTATTGATTCTCAGATTTAAAATGCTATTTTTGCAATGAAGGATGGTATAATGCATAGTATAGTACCACCATAATATGATATATATATATTTCACCATGTCATATTTTCATTAATACTTAGTTGTTGTTTTTTGTCGTTTTCGAAATTGTGCGGAGCTTTATTCATCGAGATATATCAAAATAACCCTAATTCACCGATTTCCCATCTTTTGACTATCCTAGACTAAGTACTACAAGATGTTGGGCGGGCTAGTGTTGACAAGTGTTAAAAATGACAATCGATCCTGTTATTTGGCTCAAAGAGCTGTTCAGAGTAGGCGTTAAAGTAGGTGTTGCTGGCTGATTACTTTTTACTTAGTAGTTAGGGTCGGCTGTGTGTATGTGTGTGTGTGAGTCCTAGGGGTTTCTACTTTTTCGTTTATCCTATGTACCCAAAGGCGTCGTTCATTTCAGTTCCACGAATGTCTTGCTTTTTGTAAGCTACTGCACTTAAGATATTTGAGTTATTACTAAGGTTCGTCAAGGCGACTTCATAATTTTTAGAATTATTCAGTGCCAGTCTTTAATCTAGTGAATAATAAACAGGTCTAACACCTATCCTATTTTTTTAACTATTTTATTCCTTAAGGGTAAATTTCGTTAACCCCTAAATTAACATCATTTATATATTTATTTATTTATTCTTGTTACTATAGGAAGGTGAACCACTTCCAAATGGGACTAAAAGAAGGGCAAATTCCTCTGCTGTACAACGTAGAAGAGATCAAGCACTTACGATTGATAAAGTATCCAGAGTTGCTTTTCCCCTGCTCTTTCTAATATTGAACGCCATTTATTGGTCAGTTTTTCTCATTTCTACGCTAGAGTAGGCGTATCTTATAATCAATAATTGTTATCAAGCCAACAACAGTCTTCTTTCATTGAAATAAAATGTACGGATTTTTCTGTGACAACAATTTCACGGGATAAAAAGTTGGTTGAATAAAGGATAAAAATAAAATTTGTTGGTTTTAGCTTGAAGTCGTATTTTGAACATTTCCCCGTCTCTTCGTTAAAAGAAGTCAAACCTGAAAGCTTTGTCTTTATATCTTACAAATTCTATATGTTAATATGCTATTTTGAAAACTCAATATGTATTAGTAACACCTAACATGTTTTCACATTTCAATAGTTTTTAATAATAAAAACTTTATGGTTCAACAAGATGTATTTTAATGCGTCATTGATTGCTTAAAATCAATGGGGATAATTAATTTAAATGCTATAGCTA